ATGCAGGCTTACAGACTTCATATGAAGCACCTTAATAAAGTGCAGTCACCAATCCGAATAATTGTAGAGTGTATGTCTATGATATCATTTCAGCATGCTATGAGTTTAAGCTCATTTTCAGTAACTCCAAACAATCTTTGATACAATATAATATTGTATATGACTGTTTCGTTGTATTTGTATTTTTGTAATTCATAACAATAATAGTCACCAGTTTTAGATTTATGTGCTTTTCCTATATTAATAATAAACAAACACCAAATATTTGACTTTTTTTTTAAAAGATAAAAGACTTTTCAATAGAGCGATTAAACTTAAGTCACCTGGTAAAAAATATATATATAAAGAGACATATAATGCAAAGATGTCAGCCTTTAAACAAAACAGTAACTGGCTTTCACAGAAACAGATGCCAGCATCAAAAGAAGACGGAAGCCAGCATCAAAAGGGAATGACTTTAAAATAAAACGGCCACCAGCTTTCACAGAAACAGGTGCCAGCATCCAAAGAAACAGGTGCCAGAATCCAAAAAAGACGGATGCCAGCATCTAAAGAAACGGATGCCCGCATCCAAAGAAGACGAATGCCAGCATCCAAAGAAGACAGATGCTAGCATTCAAAGGAAATGACTGTCAGCATTCAATGTATAATATGTTAATATAACTTTTACTTACAACTGGGATTCCAGCATCCCGGAGATCATATAATTGGGATGCCAGCATCCAAACAAAAGGTATATCAAAGTCTATATATATATATATATATTAGATGCCAGCATCCAAATGCTGGTGTGTTCAATATGGAACTTTATAAAGCCATATCAACATCCTGCAAAGATGAAGATGCTATTTCCATATTTTTTTGTATAACCCCCCCCCCCCCCCCAATGCATTTTTAAAATATTCTGTATACAAAAATAATAGTTGTTAATTGTATAAAACAATCTCTCAACTACAAAAGGTAATGCAATAATTATATAGGCATCTCCCATATTTTTTAGAACCAATAAAATTTGTTCAGCAGAATCTGCTACCCATAGAGATGAGATGAATCCGTATGCTTGAAGTAAGATTTGCATATGTTGATACTATAAAAAAAAACCAATTGAATAGAAAATAAAATAAAATAAAAGCTTAACTGTTTCCCAGAACTTGTGAAATTTCGTAGAAAGTAACAATAAATGATCATAAAAATTCTAAACATATCAATAATTTCTATAACAGCATATGAGAATTTAAAATTGTAGTTGAGAACCCATTTTGTGCAGTATATGTAACAAATCCTTTTGTTCAAAACAGAGTGTTAAAAAACATCTAAAAGAGCAACACAACAATTGCTTAATAGAATGTACCTATACTATCATACACGAAATTGAATATAATGTCCAGAACAATGCAAGACTAAGAGGTGTATACGAATGAAAGTTATGATAGATTCGAATTTCATTCAGAATGCACCAATAAGAAACCGTAGTTTTTCTTCAATTTATTTACCTAAAACTATTAAATCAGCTGCAAAATTATTATTATATGTACGCCTACATTGCATTAAACAATGGAAAGTAACAATGTATATTTATATAAACGATCAAACTTACAAATATATAAATAAATAAATAATGATAAAAAAACATACCAAAACAAGTTCACCCCTTTCCTCGTCAACACAGCTCATTGTTTAGTCCGTAAGGTATGTTTTTATTAGATAAACATAATATTTCTTGCATTAATAATCTATATAATCTATATAATCTATAATATTTTTTTCTTTCTTTGATGACATTCATTTTTAATTTATGAAAAATATATTTTGGGAGATCTTTTTTTCAAATTCATCACCCTTCGTAGTTCGCTTATAAACAGATCAACCAAATCCAAGAATTCAAATTTTTCCACGGAAATAAAGTATGACAGTAAATAAAAAAACATAAAAATGTCAAAAATGGTTAATACGCATGATATTTTGTATCCAAATACTATATGATTTCCGTAAGATAACTAGCTTTATCCCTTAAACTTTCAAAATTCACATGTAATAAAGAAATGAAAATAATCTTCGTCTTCTATCTTCCAAAAGTTCATTTATTATCCCTAGACATTTTCTATTTTAATAGTTACTGCTTTGTAGAAATAATATACTTCAGGAGTTTCCATATAAAAATTTTCAACTTGTTTTCTTTTAAAATTGAAAAGATAAAATCGTTTACCAATCAATATGATATATGTGGTGAGTATTCCAATTTATATATCTTGTTCAAATATCGATGTCGATTGGCTTTGAATATTTTTTTTATATCTACTAACATATTGTAGATACATGTATTGTAAATATCTTTGCTCAAAACAATTATTTCGCCATCGCAATTTATCCTTACATATATTGATTTTACTCTTTATAGAGTTTCCTCTTTTTAAACTCGCTGCTATTTTTTTGGATTAAAGAATTTAACATCTTAAACTCTGCAATCCAGTTTGATTCATTAATTAACTTTTCTAAACTAAAACCTTCTGATGATTTCCTGTTACGATCCAATATGTAAGGATGTATAAATATCTGAACACGTGTAAATCTATATGACCAACAATGAATTAAAAGAAAAATCACAATTCATCTAACGTCAACTTTGCGTGATGAAGTTACCTTTGTATCAAACAATTTTTTAATTCATCAACGGAGAATTTTAGAAAAATATTTTATAAATCATGTCAGATGCGAAGCACGAATACTGTGCTGATGATAACCGTAACAACAGTATACCGGCAGCAGCATCGACCAGTGCTAGTAAACACTTTACTGTATTAACCTTTATCAAGAACGCTTGAACCCAAATATTTGAAGGTAAATGATGCATAGATATATATAAAAAAAAACGCAAGGAGAAACATATATATAACAAAAAAGGACATAAATAGAATAGCCAAATTCATCAACTTTGATTAACTTTGCAGGAGGGAGTGTGAATCTTGGTTTCAGGTTAAGGATGTTCTTATTTTTGATTCGACAATATCTACCACTTTTGCAGTTTGTGGGGTGTCTAGGCATTTTACGTCGGTTGCATGTACAAAAACACGCCGCAAATTCAAAATTTCGAAAAGATAAAAATCTTTCTGAGAGTGACCCTGCTAAGATATAAATTATGGGGAAATTGATCCAAACTCTTTGTATCCATGATTTACAGCATCTTAAAAAACTGAACCAAGTAATATCATTTGCAAAAACAATACTTTTAATATGAAAATGAAAGATGCCATTTTCAGAAAACAGAACTACAATATCTAATTTGATGACTTCTTTTTTAAATGGAAGGAGAGAAGACTTGATTATATCTATTTTACAGACAAACCAGAACTAGACACTTTGTCTGAATGGATCAAAGCTATTCGATCATGCATTCAGAAGCGCATTCAGAAACTACGATGTACTATGAGCATTAGGGTTTCTAGCCCATTCAAGAACCCGGAGGTTGTGGATGCTTTATCCTTTTTGCATGACAAATATGTCGTTGTTCCAGCAGATAAAGCCTCCAATAATATTGTCTTCGTATGTAAACACCATTATTTGCAACGTCTCACAAAAGAGCTTGGAATAAACAGCACAACTGGTAATCCTACATATTCTTTAACATCATTTACAAAGGATGGAATTTTACAAAATCACAAATCTGTCCTGCTTTCTTATGGTATTAACATCAAAGAAAACGAAGAAAATCTACCGTCATTATACTGAATACTAAAACTTCACAAAACTCCGTATAAAGAACGATACATAGCTGGATCATCAAGATGTTCGAACATCTTTCTAAAGTGCTGACTACTATTCTTTCTACAGTAAAAGATGGCCTTCAAAATATTGTGATGAGATATATTCAACCAGTGGTGTCAATCAGATTTGGTTTCTCAAAAATTCTAAAGATCTACTGCTAAATCTTAGATCACAATCTCTGCAATTTTGCAGCCACATTCAGACCTTTGATTTTTCTACGCTTAACACTACTACTCCCCATGCTCAATTGAAAGATCGACTCCACCATCTTATTAAACAGAGCTTTTTCTATAAAAAATGGAATCGTAGATATAAATTTCTTGTTTTGTGTTATAATAATTCTTATTTTGGGAAGAACCACACTGATTCTATCAGAAAATACACTGAAGATGATATTATCAAAATGCTGGACTTTTTAATCGACAATATATTTGTTGAGTTGGAGGATTGATATTTTCAACAGACAGTCGGTATTCCAATGGGTACTAATTGTGCACCCCTTCTGGCCGACTTATTTTTGTACTCGTATGAAGCAGAATTCATTCAGAACCTTCTAAAAGACAAAAAGAAAAAGCACCTTGCAAAATTCTTTTATTCTACTTTCAGATATATATTGATGATGTCCTATCACTGAATAACCCATATTTCAGTCAGTACTTGCATCTCATATATCCCAGTGAACTTGAAATTAAGGATACTACTGATACTAGAAAGACTGCTTCATACCTTGATCTTTTCCTCAATATTGACACAGATGGACGACTTCACACTAAAATCTATGACAAACGGGATGATTTCAACTTCCCAATTATCAATTTCCGATTTTTCAGCAGTAACATACCCTCTGCTCCGTCATATGGTGTTTACATATCTCAATTCATACGTCATGCTCGTGCATGTTCACACTATACGGACTTCATACACAGGTGTGTGCTCCTTACGCAGAAACTGCTTCAACAGAGTTATGAGGAGGAAAGATTAAAATTGACACTTCGTAAATTTTATGGACACCATCATGAATTGGTTGATCTTTACGATGTGTCTGTGTCTAAACTAACTAAGGACATTTTTACCACGTCTTAGATTGTGGTTTAACATCTATGTCGTCAGTCTGCTAAATGTGTTCCCCTCGGTTTTAGTTTGTAACCCGGATTTGTTTTCTCTCAATCGATTTATGACTTTTGAACAGCATTATACTACTGTTGCCTTTATTTAAATATATTCTGATAAAATGAACCGAAAATTAAGTTGATTTATTTCAATTTAAAATGCTACATACTCCTCTTTTCCTATGCGAACTGAGGCTTCAAAATATAACTTTCCGTTTGTCTCAAGAACAAACTACAGACAGGACTTCATTGTTTTATATTATTTTTTGTAACTGTTCTCCTTGTATATGTATACTTTTTGTCGAACTACAGATTTGCAAATTCTTGTTCAAACACATCATCTGGCGTTAACCCCTCGTCATCATATATCTCCTTATCTGCGTTCTTTTTAATCAAGAGTTCAGTAATATCTGTATACCCCCCAAAAGAAGCAAAATGCAAAGGCGACCATCCAACTTGTCTTTCACACTGATTGACATTAGCATTGTTTTCTATCAATAGTTCAACAACATCATAATGCCCCATTTTACATGCCATATGCAATGGTGTTAGTCCAGTCATATCGCATTTTAAAACTCCAATATTTTTCATAAGTAGAATTTGCACAATGTCTGCATATCCTCCTTTACATGCCATAAGGAAAGGGGATTGTCCATACTTATTACAGTGTGAAATGTCGGCGTTGTTCTGTAGTAATAGTTCAACTATATCAGTATGTCCATTTTCACATGCCACAAAGAAAGGGGATCGGTCTTCGTCATCACTCTGGCAGACGCCAACTTTATTCTTCAAAAGAATTTGCACGATCTTTGTATGTCCTTCCTTGTAAGCCATATAGAACGGCGATTGTTTATAATTATTAGAATGTAAAATATCAGCCTTGTGTTCTAGTAAGAGTTTCGCTATACGTGTATGTCCGCCTTTGCAAGCCATATAAAATGGAGATATATCTTCTTTGTCATATTGATAGACATCAGCTTTGTTTTCTAACAACAGTTGTGCTATTTGAACATTTCCTCGTTCACATGCTAAATACAAAGGCGACCGCCCGTTACAATCACACTGGTTGACATTAGCATTATACTCCAGTAGATATTCTACAATAGTTGCGCATCCTTCTTTACAGGCAACATATAAAGGCGATTCCCCATGTAGGTTGCACTGCAACACATCAGCATTGTATTCTAACAACATCTTGACTATTTCAGTTTGTCGTCTGTCACAAGCAATATACAACGGTGATTGGTTTTTAGACTTAAAACATTGTAACGGATCTGCTCTGTTTTCAAGTAAAAGTTTCACTATTTCCGCATCACCTACTTTACAAGCAAGATACAACGGTGAAACTCCATAGCTGTCATATTGAGAGACGTGAGCTTTTTTCTCAATTAAGAGTTTGACTATGTCTCTATGTTTTCCTTCACATGCAACATGCAATGGGGATTTTCCATCGTTATCACACTGAAAGACGTCTGCATTGTTCTCTAATAAAAGTTTTACTATATTCGTATAACCCTCTTGACAGGCAGCATTCAATGGTGAATTAACATAAGTGTTTGAAAAGGGCGACGAAACAAAGATCATTTCTTTATTACACTTGTTAACATCAATATTTGCATTCATTAAAAGTTTTACTATAGCTTCGTGTCCTCTTACACAGGCAACATATAATGATGATTCTTTACAACATCGGTCATATTGAGACACATTAGCATTGTTAGCAAGTAAAAGTTCAACTACTTTAGTGTGGCCGCCTTTACAAGCAATATAAAGAGCTGACTGACCACTTTTGTCAAGTTGAAAGACATCGGCTTTGTTCTCGAGAAGCAGTGTCACTATATCTGTATGCCCTCCTTCAGCAGCAACATAAAGTGGTGACTGTTTATACTTGTTGCATTTTAAGATATCAGCATTTTCTTTCAGCAGTAATGTAAGCACGTCAATGTGGCCCCCTTTACAAGCAAAAAAGCATGGTGTCTGCTTTGCCCAGCAATATTGAGATACTTTAGCTTTGGATTCAAGCAATAATTCTACTATTTTTGTATGTCCATTTCGACAAGCTACATGCAATGCTGATTGTGCTTGAGTGTCACGTTTAGAGACATCAATATTCCTTGGTAGTAAGAGTTTCACTGATTCTGTATGCCCTCCTTCACATGCAATAAACAGTGGTGACCGATGGTGTTTGTCACACTGAGACACATCAGCATTATTTTCCAATAACATTTTTACTATAACCGAGTGTCCTGCTTTACATGCATGGTACAATGATGACTTTCCAAATTTATCACATTGAAGCATGTTAGAATTGTTCTTAAGTAACAATTTAACTATATCTGCATGTCCTGCTAAACAAGCCACATGCAACGGTGAAAGTCTAAACTTCCCACAATGTGAGACATCAGCACCACTCTGCAGTAAGATTTTCACAATAGGTGTATGTCCTTTTTCACAAGCAACATACAAAGGTGTCTGCATTGCCCAACCTCTTTGAGAAACGTTAGCCTTGGTTTGAAGTAGTAGTTTCACTATATCTGTATGCCCTTGTTGAACTGCCAAATACAGTGGTGATTGTCCATGTCTGTCACATTTGGAGATGTCAATTTGTTTCTCAAGTAAAAGTTTAACAATGTCTATATAACCACTTTTGCATGCAACAGACAATGGGGATTGTCCGCGATTATTACATTGCGATATATTACAATTATTCTCCAATAACAATTTTACTATAGCTGTAAACCCTTTTTTACAAGCCATATACAATACTGATCTTTTATTAACGTCACAATGCAAAGTATCCGCATTGTTTTCTATTAACATTCTTACAGTGTCTGCATGTCCTAGTTCACAAGCCACGAGTAATCCTGACATACCAGACAACTTTTCACGCTGAGACATGTCAGCCTTTTTTGCAAGTAACAGTTTTACAATATCTGTATGCCCTCCTTTACAAGCCATATAAAATGGTGACTGTTTAAAATCGTCCGTCTGCGATACCACAGCATTGTTATCAAGCAATAACTTAACTATATCTGTGTACCCTCTTTCTGAAGCCACATAAAGTGGTGACATTCCGAATGATCCACGTTTAGAGACATTGACATTTCTTTCCAAAAGTAATTTCACTACGTCAGTATGACCTCCCTCGCATGCGATATATAAAGTTGATCTTCCCTTACTATCTACTTCATTGACATCACAGTTTATATCTATCAGAAAGAGAACCACGTCTACATAACCTTCTGTAACAGCTTCCATTAAAGGTGTTGGTGTGGACATCGAGGAATATCCATAGAACATACGTCTATTGCGTCTGTCAAAAGCCAACAGTAAACGTGTAACTTCATGGTTACGTTTGAAAAACGAAAGAAGCTGCGATCTAAATGAATTAAATCGTAACTGTTTATTATGGAATATACTTTTCAAATCATTATTTTTCAAATCTAAGATCAGTCTGACAAAATACTCGTGTTTCATGTCTTCTGAGAGAATTATCAAGTTTTCCTCACCACTTGTTCTGTCCTTGAACGATTCGAAAATGTAATGATCCCGGATGAATTCACTGGGCGCAAAATTAATAAAGCATTCTTGTAAATGTTGTCCGCAAATAACAGCTGCAATTTCATATATTTTGTCATGAATAAGTGTATACTTGTTTCCCCGCCTTTTTAAATAGGTGCCTTCTAAGTTTGCAAGGCATTCTCGTAATGTAGTTCGGGACATTTCTTGTTTTACATCAATGCCAAATTCTGCACACACGGACTTAAGCTTTATTTCATCCTGAGATGAAGTGTTAAGCTTCAACAAATCTAAACTAAAACCATCATCAAATAATACACAAAGAACAATAGCACAAAACGGAATTTTGTTGTGAAATCTTATTATGTGCATTAATTCATCTTTTATAGTATTTACTGGGGCTGTGAAAAGCTTCTTTAGGTCAGTAAATGATTTTCCCTCGGATAATTTACAAAGCAGTGGAAAGAAATCAAAATTTTCCAAATATGTTTCAATATGGTTGATCATATCATTTGAAAGGTACTGTCTTATCATTAGCTTTCTTTCTTCTGGTAAGAGACACAGCTGTTGTGATAATAAATTGCATTCTTTACTTGCGAAATAATTAAGTTGCTGGAATTGTAAATCTTTGAATACATGCAGTCTGCAAGAAATAAGGAGTTTTGCAGATGTAGATTGCCCTGGTATTTCATTATGCATGAAAATAACATTTTTTATGCCATCTTTTTTATCATTTTCGCAAGCTTTGAATATTTTTTCTATTTTTTCTAAATGATCTTTCCACATATGTACTGTTTGAATGTTAACTGTCTCCTTGCCACAAATATCATCAATAACAAAAACTTGTTTCTTTCTTAAATCACGATAATGTATTATATCTGATGGTCCTGTGACTAACGGAATTATTTCATACCCTTCATGTTTATACAAATTTATTGCAACATGGTGAATAATTGACGATTTTCCAGTCCCTGAGCTCCCAGTGACAACAATACAATTCTGTAACTGTACAGATGTTGCAACATGTTTTGTTGCCCTTGTGATAATAAATTTGCTGTCATCCTTCATCCATTCATTTATATATTGGTCATTTTGAGCTTGAAATAAAAAAAAAATGAATAGAACATAAACATTTACATAAACTATAAATAAAACAATTAAGTCATCAACAATCTACGATGATATATGATTACTAGTAATCATACTGACAATAAAACTGAAACATACTAACTGTAGTAAAATCATAATTGAAGGAAAATAAAATGGTATAGATCTAAATCGATATATTTTGATTCAGTGCAAATAGAACTGATTTAAAAGATAAAAACAATATACACAAATACAAAAAGACCAGTCAGCATAAAATGGAAACACTCAAATGTCTGTAATATTTGTTTTTCATTTTAACGGGCAAGGGCGAGACGATAGATATCAAAAGGACATTCAAACTTGTGAATTTGAAAAAAAAACAACAAAAAACTGACAAAGCCATGGTTGATACATAGACAATAACTGTTTAGTGTCTTTAAATATCAGCTGTATTTGTAAGAGGCTAAGAAACAGGTGTAATGTAAGCTTCAGCGACCTTTTACTCCTGTTTCGAGTCGAGTACAAATTCAGCTGATATTCAAAGACACTAAACAGTTATTTTCTTTATCCTGCAATCAATTTTGAACATTGTTTTTTCTTTGAAAGACAGAAAAACTCACATTTATTGCATTTATTTTCGATTTAAAATCCTTTGAGGCCCGCGTAGTAATATCAAAAAATCACATAATCATCTGATGACCGGTACACCGAAAAGAATTACGCATTGTCAACAATAATATATAGCCAAAAAAATATTATTATTTATTACACTATATCAACTAATTTCAACAGTAAAAAGAAATAACAAAACATTGTCCGATTTAAGAAAAAAGTGTTTGATATGTCCTACTCTGCAGAATTTCGAACTGTCCGTGCATTCACGCATTATTGGGTTTGTTGCATGGTTAATTTTGTGATTTACACATTCAAGTTTTGAACATGAAGATTGGCGCCGTAGAAAGTGGAGTTAATCTCTGCTGTTCATGTTTGTCTTTAAGCAGAAAGTTGGTTGCGGATCGGAGACTTGAACATTCACAGACGGAGCAATATGTCATTAGAATGCGATTGCAATACACATTCTGAGGTCACGAAAGTTCATACAACACTTGTCAACAGCAATACACAAAAATAGTCCGGCAGTGGGCGGAGCTTCAAAGCGGTATCTGTATAGTATACAAATACAGGTTAGCGATATCTGTTGGGCTATTAATGTATGATAAGACACCCAATTGCAGGATAAATAATTATTTATATCATTTGGAATCCCCAGTTGTTTTGAACATTTACAATTTACCTTTAATTATAAATTCGATTCACGCTATAATATTACAGATTCTGTCGTTTTCCCGATTACGACACTTTTACTGAATTTGCATGACGAGTAATGAATGCACAGCAAGAGACGCTTTGAAAATAAAATTTCGAAAATTGATGAACCAGGGTTATATTAAAAAATATCTCGGCCTTTTTCTAAAAGTGTTCATCGGAAGGTACAAAGACCTTGTTGATAAATATTCCGTATCAACTTCACAAATAATGCATGATGATCTTGAAGTATAGATTCTAGGTATTGCCGTCTTTTATCATCTAAATTGCGTGCTTTTTTTATTTGATTTTGTATTATTTTCATCCTTTACTGTTTAGTCAATTTTTGGTTAATCCTTTTAGCATTGCTCGGTATTTATACATCCCGTAATTGTGTTATTGTGCTATGGTCATTTTTTGTATTATTGTCTTTCATTTTTGCTTAAGCGCTTTGTCTATAGAGTGTGTATATGCCATTTTTTTAGGTTTTCTCTGTTGACATAGTTGTTTGTTTTTATAGTGATTAAGATTTTAACACAATGTTGACTACTGTTTAAAAATTTTGACATTTCTACCTTTTATCTCTGTTTGTTTTGCTCACACATTGTTGTAAATATAATGGAATTCTATGCGACTGTCATAGAAATGAGAGGTTTAGCTATAAAACCAGGTTAAAACCATCATTTTTTACTTAAGGAAATGGCTGTACCAATTCAGGAGTATGGCAGTTGTTTTCCATTCGTTTGATGTGTTTGAGCTTTAGATTTTGCCATTTGATAAGGGACTTTCCGTATTAAGTTTTCCTTGGAGTTCGGTATTATTGTTCTTTTACATTTTTGGTGATAAGTCGCTTTCCATATGTTCCGATTGAAGACAATGTCGAAACTTCACTTTAATCCTCTTTTCCGAAAATAATATGAAATGCAAAATCTTGAACTATAAGATAAGTGGTGGTCAGAAGCCCATAAAATATTTATTTCCTACCTAGCAAAAAAATAGTATTTAAACCAAAACCTAGAGAGTTTGATGTCCTCTACCATCCCAATTCAATAGAAGATAATTCAGAACTATGTGGTCACAATAAATGTTAGGAATACATAATTATAGTGACCACATAGGTCTAAATTATATTCTATAATTCAGAACTATGTGGTCACAATAAATGTTAGGAATACATAATTATAGTCTTATTAATCAAAAGAAATAAAGAGTTGTAATACTAGATTCTGTATAAACTTACAGTTATTGTATACATGCATACTTTTAGGTCATATAAACATTTATGCCTTTTCTATCATAAAACTACACCATTTAAAAAAAAAATATTTCGTTAAAAGAATTGGGTATAAAATAAAGCAACAGCAATTTACCGATGTTCTCGTAAATCGATAAAGAAGAAACTAATCAAGATAACAAACAAACACTGAGGACAACGCATGAGCTCAAAAAGGAGCAAGACCGGGTGCGTCGTAATGATATGAGCTTTACAACGTCATGTAATGACCCAATGTGAAATAGAAAAAGAGAAATCTAATGGTCTGATTTTTATTAAAACAATAAAGAAAAACAATTATAGAAGACGGCTTTTTTTTCATAATGTCGAGAAGACGAAAAAAGTAAAATAACAAAAATACCGAACTCTAAGGAAAATTCAGACGGAAAGTCCCTTCTTTATCAAATGGCCAAATCAAACGCTCACACGCATCAAAAGAATGGAAATCAACTGTCATATTCCTGACTTGGTATCTTTTTATACAATAAGGTTAAAACACATTTACGTTACTAATTCGGCTAATTCGTCGGAGTTGACGATAAGAATAATTAATCCTTGACAATATTTTCCAGGACAGCTTGGTCATGGTATAGTTATAGTTTCTTAGCAAACACAAAAATAAGCTTGATTACATATTCAAAGTCGTTTATCAAATGATAAATTATATTTCTAACAGCCAACTTCTCATTTCACAGCCAGCAGTAACAAAACTCAGCTCCAGCGTAGGCCGTTTACATAACTCAGTTAATACGTTACGGTCTTGCATATGCACACTATACGGTCTTGTTGAAGGCCGTACGGTGACCTATAGTTGTTAATTTCTGTGTCATTTGGTCTCTTGTGGAGAGTTGTCTCATTGGCAATCATACCACATCTTCTTTTTTATATTCATTAACAGAGATGGCAGTCCTATTGGAGTTTATGCGATTCTTTTTGTTGTTTTTGTTTGTAACGTTATTTTGAACTGTAAATCGGTTTATGAGATATGAACATTGATAAACTACCGCGACATTAATTTACTATATGGCATGGTTTTGTTCATTGTTGTAGACCACATTGTGACCTGTAGTTGTACAGATCCCTGTCGTTTGGTCTTTGAGGGTTTTCTAATGGTAATCAAAAAAAATCTCCTTATTATACGGCAGTATTAGACGAGACGTATTAAGGTATATAAAGGACAATTTATCATAGGTATGTTGTAAAAATGAAGTCATCCATTCAAAACGTTTACATTGATTGACCGTTATGGAATATCTCTTTCACAGAAGACGACAGTTAGATTCAAATTGTCGTAAAATTAAAGGATGTACACCTCTGAGGGGCCAAATATTTCTAGGATTAAACTTTTTTTCTCAACCTGATTTTTGGGTTTATATGACTGTAAGAATGTAATTGATGAAGAAAAAATCATATGGTGGTGCACTTTTGTGTTGTTATGGCCATTTGAAGGTACCCCATTTTCAATGATTTTCCCATTTTTCAACAATTTGTTACCCGTTTTGTGCTATTATTTTGAAAAAATCACAGTTTTACAACTAAACTTTTTTTCAAACTTTCACTAAAGATAAAGTGGACCAATCTGAAAAAAATTTACTTAAAACAACAATAGGTTGGCGTTAATATTAGAATATTAGAAAGTTTTATAAAATTTTGTTGCTTTTTCCTGTCAAATTCACCATGCTGTCAATTTAGTTAATTTGGGATTTTCCCTTTTTTTTAGAACAAGAAGCATATTATTTCAACTTCTATGTTATAAGTAATTGAAAAAAAACATATCTAAGAATTTTGAAAAGAAAAATTGATATGGGATATACATATTTTTGGTTAAATCGTTTCTTTGTACCCTTACTGATTTTCTCAACATTTTGCCTGATGACACTGACCGGATCGGTTATAAAATTTGAAAATTGTATTACCCAAAAACTGCTTTTTGTAAGTACACAATTTTTTCACAGAGTTTAGTTTGATTATAATATTTTTTTAATTCATTGATATTTTCCACATGTATCACATGTTTTGGAAATAATTCTTGAACGAGATTTCAACGAGACTGAAACATCAGAAGAACACATCTTTAATATAATAATAAGAAGATGTGGTATGATTGCCAATGAGAAAACTCTCCACAAGAGATCAAATGACACAGAAGTTAACAATTATAGATCACCGTACGGCCTTTGATAATGAGCAAAGCCGATACCGCATAGTCAGCTATAAAAGGCCACGAAATGACAAATATAATCAATTCATTCGAGAATACTAACGGTCTAGTTAATGTACAAAATAATGAACGAAAACAAATATGTTACACAGCAATAAACGACAACCACTGAATTAGAGGCTCCTGACTTGGGGTTCGTGTTGCTTAGTCTTTGGTTTTCTGTGTTGTGTCATCTGTACTATTGTTTGTCTGTTTGTTTTTTTATTTTTGGCCATGGCGTTGTCAGTTTGTTTTCGATCTATGAGTTTGAATGTCCCTCTGGTATCTTTCGTCCCTCTTTTGGGACAGGCACATATATAATGAGGTGGGGTTAAACTCGTTTGAAGGCCCCAACCTTCCCCTAACCTGGGACAGTGGTGTAACATTACAACATAAGAACAAACTTTAAGCCCTCTTCGACTCGTTTGTGACACCAAAGAATTAGACTTATCACATAGTTTGTACTCAGAGCTGGAAATTGAAATTAAAAGTTTATAAATTTGCCAATCTTCGTTTCTTCAGTATATGTCAGTATCCTATCGAATAAATAAACAGAATCTAAACCAATTTGGTGTCATCATTTGTATCTTTATTTCGGTTTATAAAGAAACTTGTGTGAGTAGCAAAAATCAAGAAGTTAATTATAAGGGATAAATTTATATCACCTTGTGAAAGTGGGTGTCAAAATACAGATAACTTATCAAAAAATGTACAAGTTACAACTTAACAGCTGGTAAATACAATACGTTAAATTGTGAACAAACTGGTAAATTTTGTTGTCAATATATATAAAAACTGGTTTAGAATATGAATAATTTGGTAGTTTTTTTAATAACTTAACATGTATGTATCACGTGAACAAATGGTATCGGAACTCATTCATCAAGTTGACATTTCTAAACTTTATTGAAAACATGGATCCTGTATAATAAATTAACGGTAACTCAATTTGAGAAAAAAAACTGGCCTTTATATGTCATGTTTCGGTTTTAAATTTTAGGTATAAAGTTAAAGAAACGAAAATGATATGAAAAGAAGACTTACATCTTATATTCCCTGGAATAGTATCTGCAGCTCGAACTTTAATTTCTGTTGAGAGATCCTGTATCTTTTTGGTAAACTCTGACGACAGTTCATTGATGTGTTCATCTGAAATTAACATTATGAGTTATAATTTTGCACTAAAATAAGGTAATCGGCATTACACTGATAAGACATGTGGTGATTGAGACTAGATTAAAGATATATAGTGAACAACCATAACAGTTGGAATAAAAAACAAAACAAAGACAAACAGATTTATGTTAACTCTAAAATTAAAGGCAATATAAATAGGTAAATCAATATCCTCACTACAGTGATTTTTGATGTTCGGTTTAGACATGTAAGATTACTAGTAGCAGATGCATTAGGACGAGCTTAATTCTGGCATTACTCATGATCGTGATTATGTTAATGTAGTTCGTAAGTAAGCATATATTTCATTACACCTGACCAGCGCTACAGGTTTATATTATACTAATAGTCTCTTAGTGCGTTGCCATCGAGAATAAAAAATATCGAAAGAGAATCATCACCCAACTTGTACTTGCCATTAGTAACACATCGGTAGACAGCGGTTACTATAATGTCTGACGACCTTTTTTATTACTTAACTTTGGTCAAGTTTGGCTTCATCGGCTCTTCAAGTTTGATTTTCAAATATTTTAGCCTCGAGATTGATTGTCGAAATACTCATCTGGTATAGTATATTTGATACCGTTAATGTTATTAAGTGATGCTCAAGGCCAAATTATCTGAAAATCCAAACACGAATACAAACATTGAATAGCTGATAAAACCAAAAAAGAACCAAAAAGGAAAGTCAAACATGGACACTAAATCAGAGCTATGCATGACAAAGACATTAAACTTTCAATTGGAATGGCTTTAGGAGAATTGCCAGATGACACCTCACATATTTTGAACTGTCAAATCGACTCTTTACGGAATTCGATAATTAGAATATGGCAAAACTTATTGATCATTCATTATTAGATTTATTTCCAAAAGACTTTGAGTTTCAGATTTTCGTGGATTTTCCAATTGAAAGTTACTATGCAAGAATGCACACGCTGAATATCTCGCCCGATTTCCTAATTATTATCAGAATTTTGTGTTGAAGGTCTGTAAAATACCATAAGGGGTTAACGCATGTATAACACAAACCTCACATTATCGATAATTCATGATAATGAGGTCAAGGTCAGGAAATCCATATTAGACGGACACATACATCCAACAATCGAAGGCCGTACGGTGATCTATCATTGTTAACTTCTGTGTCATTTGGTCTCTTGTGGAGAGTTGTCTCATTGACAATCATACCACATCTTCTTATTTATATGTTCAGTTAGAAACTTCAAAACTTCTGAACAAGAAATGTAGTATCCACGTCTGCTACCTTCTGCAATGTAAACTATACTGTTTATACTAACAGTTACGCCGTCAACGCTGCCAAATAAGAAACCTATGTTTTGCATTCCAAAAGTTTCACGTATTTTTTTTTTAAATTTTAGCGGCTTTCAACAACTTTTTTACTTATCAGACTTCATTATTCATTCGTTGCATTTGGAGTTATACAGGTCGTGTGCATGACGTCAACTTCTGTCATCAGAAAAGGACTTGACGAAATTAAATCTACCAAGGATTGAAACTTCATAATTTCTGGATAGCTGAGTGATTGTACAAACAAACTACATACAGAAACGAAAAGGTAAGTATTTTTGTTGTTGATACATGTCTTAGTTTTTATAATATTATGGAAATATGGTGCATACAATGTGCTGGAAATGAGCAGATTACGATATTTGAATGTATTATGGAAAATAAAAACAGAGGGTCAAAATTTATAAACTACTTATATTATATATCGTATGGAAAAGAGCAAGTACATTTTAAATAAGTGAAAATAAGTTATAATATTACAGAATATTTACAAAAAAAAACAAATTAAAACACAAAAAAAAAAAATATTTAGAAAAATTGGGGGTCAATTCCTCATGCGCCCGTGCCAGAATTGTGATGTCATTTGCTTTTATTTAATAGAAATTTTCAAAAACAGCATTCAATTTTTATACTTACAGATTCTTTATAATAAATATTTGTTATTTCCCATTTTGATTCTGAAAGTTAAACTCAGTAAAATGAACGCAGTAGCATTCCTGGTGAAAATAAAAGATAAAACAAATACTTAAGCCTGCATCATATCTTGACTTGCATCTAGAAATTGTCAATGAGAGTCGATTAAGAACAAAACGACAAAAGAGATGATTTCAGCTTCCAAATTGTGAACTTTTCATTTCTATGTAGCAACAATCCGGCAATGCCGGCATAAGGAGTATTCATGTACCAGTTGATGCGATATTCAAGAGCTTGCATTTCCTATCATGATTTCCTTGATAGGGGATTGCTGCTTACAAGGGAGCTATTAAATCAAGAGCTCCAAGTGGTGAATTTAAATCATTCCTTGAATAATTAAACGGACGCCATCACGAGTTGTTTGACAAAAAACCTGTCCTCTTTTCCGTGAATGTGACTCATCGAATTTCGTACTAACATAAGCCACACGTTAGGTGCCACATGTGGAGCAGGTTCTGCCTACCCTTCTTGAGTACCTTAGATCATCCCCCGTTTATGGTGGGGTTCGTGTTCAGTCTTTAGTTTTCTATGCTGAGTGTTGTATACTGTTTGGTTTTTTTTTGCCATGACATTGTCAGTTTGTTCTCGACTTATGAATTGGAATATCCCTTTGGTACCTTTCGCCTCCCTTTAAGGCTGCAATCATACGACTTGGGTTGTTTAACATTCGATTCGTCTTTTAGCCAAAAAAGATCAGCATATGTACGAATTGATCACCTTCAGTAAATATTTAATAATTACACGCATTAACTTATTTCTATATTGAAAATGACTTTTACATACATGTTAACTAAATATTAAATATCTTGCTATTACTTCTTGTCTGTGTATTCTAAATAATAAGGATGTTCTTGTTCCAGGCAGAAAACCCTGGCCGTGTTAGGCGCAAATTTTTGGAAGTTTTGGTCCTCGGTGCTCTATACTTTTGTACTTGTTTTGGCTTTCAAACTTTTTTCATCTGAGCGTCACTGGTTGTTCTTGTGTGTACGAGACGCACGTCTGGCGTATTGAATTTTAAGCCTAGTACCTTTTGTTAGCTATTATTTGTGTGTTTCTTTGTCCTATATGTTCTCCCATTTATTTGTATTGTGGTCCTGTCATGTGATGTTGTCGTTTTAGTGTTGTGTTTGACGTTGCAATAAAAGCGTGAGGTTCGGCATGCCACAAAACCAGGTTCAACCCACCATTGTTTTTTTAAATGTCCTGCACCAAGTCAGGAAAATGGCCATTGTTATATTATAGTTCGTTTCTGTGTGTGTTACATTTTAATGTTGTGTTTTTGTTGTGTCGTTGTTCTCCTCTTATATTTGATGCGTTTCCCTCAGTTTTAGTTTGTAACCTGAATTTGTTTTTATCTCTATCGATTTATGAGTTTCGAACAGCGGTATACTACTGTTGCCTTTATTTATTCAACATAAAACATGGGTAATGCCATGCATTTGTTTTTACCTTGAAATTCATATTCTGTTATTTTTGTAAGAAGGTCTAATGTTGTAATCTTTACTGCATCTTTGAACTTTTCATGATCATCTTTAAGCATTGATACCTTTGTCTGTATATGAACTGTTTGGTTCTCTAGTGTTTTCAATTCTGAACCAATTTCCTCTTGGAATTCTGTTAAATCTTGACGTACAAATGTTAAGATATCTTTGTTTAGATTCATTTGGCTCACTTCATCACACATTGATTTGTATGCAATTCCACCAAGTCTTACTATTGCCTTAAACAAGAGATTTTTACCATAAAAATCATGCCAAAAATGCAAACACATATTAACTCCTTTTCAAAATGACAGTTTTTATTTTTACTATCATGGTTTCTAAAAACCTGAAAATGAAATGTATGGGGAAACAACAATTTCATTAAATTCGGGAATGAGCATTTAAGGAATGGAATTTGTTGGAAGATCTTTAATGATGAACTGGAGTGCTCAAGCTTTCCAGAATAATCAAAACCGCTTCATGTTTAACCGGATTTTCGAGGGAAATATCGGTTATTAAAATGGGGATGTTCGGCGGGCGGCTGGGCGGCTGACGGGCGGCTGCCAAACAGTGTCAGCACAATAACATGAAAATTCTTTAACAAATTCTTTTCAAATTTAAATATGTTGTTTCCTGGGACTTAATGAAGGTCTAGTTCAATTTTCAAGATTTATCTCCTTTGTGAGTTATCGCCATTTTTAATATCCAAAAGTGGAATTTTTAAATATTTTACTCTTTGTTATCATGTTATGATTTGTCTTATCTCACAGTAAAAATTGGAGTGACAGATTTATTTGAAAATTATCTATTTCCTAAGTGGTAATGATTATAAGCTATATCATTAGACATTTTGAAGATTATTACATTATTAATTATTATATATGTAATGTTAGAGTACTATGTTAAACCATAGTTCTGTTCAATTAGATATAAGAAATATTTTAGCATATGATAATGATTTATTTTCATTATTAATTAGATCTGGGAAATATCTTAGCATATGATAATCATTGAAGTGACAGATTTATTTTAAAATTTTCTGTTTCCTGATAAGATCTTTAGGACTGTATATATAAAGTTTGAAATTTACTAGAAGGACTGTATAAATGAAGATTGAAATTTACTGTTCATTATTAGACATTTTATAGATAATTAAGTCTCCCTAGATCATGTATATTCTTACCCCCACCCCCCTTCAATTTGAGAATGTGCTTTTATCTTGTAAACGGTCGAGATCCCCACCCTAAACCATATATATTCTTGCATGGGACAATAAAACAAATCAAATGAAATAAAAGGCGAGTCCCTTGGGGACAACCCCACCCCCTCCTGTTTAAGAACTTGTAAACGGTCGAGATCCCCACTCCTAAACCATATATATTCTTTTATGGAAAAAATAAAACAAATCAAATGAAAAATAGGGGAAGTCCATGAGGATAACCCCCACCCCCCTTCTTTTAGATAACTTGTAAACGGTCAAGATCCCTACCCCGAAACCATATATATTCTTGTATGGGACAATAAAACAAATCAAATGAAATAAAAGGCGAGTCCCCTGGGGTCAACCCCACCCCCTCCTGTTTAAGAACTTGTAAACGGTCGCGATCCCCACTCCTAAACCATATATATTCTTGTATGGGACAAAAAAACTAATCATATGAAATTTAGGGGGAGTCCACTTTTGAGAACTTGTAAACGGTCGAGAACTCCACCCCTAAACAACCATTTATATTCCTGTTCGTCATTTCAAGAAGATTTGAATGACATACAGGGTCAATCCATAGGCGTCACTTATGCATATCACATACCAATTTGTACTGGACTTTGGCCAATGTCAGATGACCATGGGAATGACGAATTATTGGAGCTTTGTTTGGGAGACTTCGTAACAGCATCCTGTTACAATTATTTCTTGTTACTGATAAGTTTTATAGATTTTGAAAAGACATTGTATTAATGATAAATGAGATTTTGGATTTTTTTCTTCTTTTCTTTGGTAAATTGTTTGAAGAATTTTGTGGCAAGTTTGTTTGTTATTCTGTAAAAACTAATTTTCTGAATGCTATATATTTTGTTTTATGAAGTGAACTCCTTTAAAAACTAAGCTTATATTGTTTATTAATAAACATATATTTAGATTTCTGATTTTGGGCCCAGTTTTCAAGTTGGTCCAAATCGGGGTCCAAAATTAAACTGTGTTTGATTTCAACATAAATTGAATAAATATAGAGTTCTATGAAATGCTTAATCTAAACCTGTATTTCTTTTCATTATTAATAAGATAATACCACATTGAGGTCCAAAGGGTCCTAAATTAAACTTTTGTTTAATTTTATCAAAAATTGAATTCTTTGGTTCTTTGATATACTGATTCTAACAATGTTTGAGTGTTAAATCATATCTAATTTTAGAGAACTTAGTCATCACTGGTTGTTGTTATTATATTATTGATTATAATTTGAAAAATTGCATCATATTTTATTTTAGAAAAAAATTATCCAGTTTGAGTTATTTCCCTTTGCACAGATAATATTATGGATAAAATTAACCTGTGTTTCATTTCAACATAAATTAAATATATATAGGGTTCTTTTAAATGCTGAATCTAAATCTGTATTTAAATATTAGATTTTTGGGCCCAGTTTTCAGGTTGGTCCAAATCAGGGTCCAAAATTAAACTTTGTTTGATTCAACGAAAATTGAATTTATGGGGTTCTTTAAAATGCTGAATCTAACCATGTATTGAGAGATTTTTGATTGTAGGCTCCTTTATCAAATTGGTCCACATTGAGGTCCAAAGGGTCCTAAATTAAACTTTTGTCTGATTTCATCAAAAATTGAATTCTTTGGTTTCTTTGATATGCTGATTCTAATATGTACTTAGATTTTGGATATTGGACCATCATAGGTAAATGTCCAATTTCAAATATTTCAGGTCTTTGACCACATTAATTTTGTGTCACAAACCTATGCTGTGTCAAATATTCAATCACAATCCAAATTCAGAGCTGTTTTAAGCTTAAATGTAGTGTCCATACTTGCTCAACTGTTCAGGGTTCGACCTCTGCAGGAAAATCCGGTTTGCTGTCACTCTGACAGCCTCCTGTTGTTTTTGTTTGCAGCTTCTTGTTTGGTATACATAACAAAAGAAGCATTTCTGGTGGAGATAAATGGTCACATTGCGTTTTAGTACTTGCGCCGTTCCCAATTTTTTCCTCTTCAGAATTAAAAAGAAGTGATGTGGGTAAACTTATTTTGTCACTTTTGCAAATTATCGAATGGATGGACTGATTGATGAATTACTGTCATTCGACAAATCTGATCGTGAAAAAATAAGTAAAGGTGTTCAAGCATTCAATTTGGTTGTGGATCGTGAATGCAATTAAATCAAATTCATCGTCAAAATCTGAGAAAAAAAATCTGTTGCATTATCAAAAGGCAGAATAAATGAGAAACAAAATATGTCTGAAATGACAATAAGGCATAACGAACTAGTCAGAATGGTCTTAAAAAACCCCAGATCAAAAGGCATTCCATCGTCATAGCCAAACATTTTTATTCCCCAATAAACGAGAACCAGAAAAGTCATGGAAGTTTAATCTTCCACCAAAATAAATTTTCATATTTTTGCAATGACAATAAAGCGACACTCGAATTTTCAAGATCCTTTTCACGATAAAAAAAAAAAGTTGCAACCGATCTTTTACGATCATAAATATCAACTTTATATAAATATTCCAACTTTCCCCACTTTCTGATTATGCTATTACGACAATGAACGACAATGTTAAAAGAATAGTAATTTAAGAATTTGTATATTTAGAAAAATCATGTTTGTTTACATTTTCATGTCATTTAAGTATTGGTGAGCAATGTGCCATTTGTAGTTTTATAATAATGGTGATCTCTTAAACTCTTTTCTTATTTTGACAATATTTTTTTTCTTCTTCCAAAATGGTTCATAGTTCATAATTAAATAAATCAAATCATCTATTGACCTTTCATGTGTCTTCTAGATAAGTTTTCCTTCAAGGTCCCATAATAGATATTACGCTATCCTTTCGTAATCCTTGATCACCGTTATTTATTCTTTCACGATAAGTTTTCACGATGTACCCAATGACAGTCGTGAGGAAGCCCCAAATAATCTTTGCTAAGTCATTAAACTGAAAAAGTAACTAGCAGATGAACTAAGTAATCTCGTAAACAAGAAATTCATAATACATATGAATATAAAATAAGGTGATGTGGTATGATTGCAAATGGTGCAACTATCTAACAGAGTCCAAAAGAAGCAGTGTTAAGCAACTATAGATCTTTAATGAGCAAAACACATATCGTGTACTCAGCTCTAACTGTCCTCGATGTAACAAAATTTGAAGAAAAAAAAAATCTTACATTCATTTTCTTTTTACTGATTTTCTTATCATTTAAAAATTATTACTCTCTACCAAGTTACCTTTTTTAAAACGGATGGTGAATATAGACAGTAAGTTCACAATTTTACCTAGGCTAGTTAAATTTACCAATTTATGTTTCAGTGGTATACTCAACTTCACTTCACAATTACTTCACAACTCATATTTACCTTAGATACGCACGCCCATGCAATTGTAAAATCTTGCTTTGGTATTTCATCTTTCTCAGCGTGAACGATTTCATTTCTATAGTATTTAATTCTTGCTAAATCAGCCCCGTCACTGATTTCTGTCGCTGGTGGCATCTTGTCATATCCGTTGGAGGGCGGAACAATTGTACTTAAATTTCTTAATAGACAGATCATTAGTGTCACGTCATAGTTTTCCGAAGACGTGTTGCCTGAAATAAAAAAAAAGACTACAGAGAATCTACGATTATTGTATATACAAGAAGACATTCGTGAATACACGGACATCCAAATTTCGTCAAAGCTTCATCTACTATTAAAGAATTTTTATTTTATTTATACGGTAGACAATTATTACGTGATGATTGTATCTTACCCCTCATTGATTATTGTTGTATAGTGTGGATAAATTGTAGCAGCGAGGGCTTAAGCAGAATTTTAAAATAAGAAAGAAAAAAAGCTCCTAGAACAATACTAGATACCGGATAATTTCGCTCCTTCGGAACTGGATGTAAATTGAACAGATAATAAGATATCACAAGTTTGCGTTTATATTTAAATGTATCAAAAAGAATGCCCCTTCATATCTTACTACCAAGTAAACTCACCATAGTATGTTTCTGTCAGAAATCCATACCCCTTGAGAAGTGATGCTCATGGAAACATCATACTTCCCAAACCAAACATAGAATTGTTAAAGAATGTGTTATTCAGGACCATTCTTGTGGAACATACTGTCTACATATTTTAGAAATATTGCAATATTTCAAAAATAAAACAACTGATCACTTATTGAAATCAACCAATTGATAGCAATGTTTTGTAATTTTAACATTTTTTTGCAGTTGTATAGAAAAATATACTTGTAACTTTTATACTCATCTATGCCATGTACATGTTAGCATTCTTTTCAACAAAGTAAATGGTTTTTGATGATGTTGGCAACGGAAAAGATTACTTGTATCACTAACTTGTAACCCTTTTGTTGCTGATGTTGAGTATTCAATTTACACCCTATCTTGAAATTATTACTTAATAGTAAGTTCTGGGAATATGGCTAAGATTCTATGGCTTGAATATGTTATAAAATTGGGAACACGTCAGAAAGTGCAGAAGAAATCATATGCGGATGGTCTAATAGTATGGGTATTCGAGACCTGATCGATGACTTTGTTGCTATAGGATCAAATCTTGTTGGATAAACGCTAATAGTCAAAATTGATACATCATTATTACGCCTTTCCTTTGGTTAATCTCCATAACACGATTAGTTTTATTCACATAAAACATTACTAGGACAGGATGGCTTTCTGTAAAGCGTTTTCTATGGGTGACTAAGTTTGGTACTATGACTCTCCAATTAAGAAAGGGCAATCGCCAAGGTTAAATTATCTCTGTCTAAAAAAGGAAAAGATTTTTTAGATCTGGTAAATGGAATTCGGTTAGATAAAAAGTAAAATCACAAAAATACTGAACTCCGAGGAAAATTCAAAAAGGAAAGTCCCCAATCAAATGGCAAAATCAAAAGTTCAAACACATCAAACGAATGGATAACAACTGTCATATTCCTGACTTGGTACAGGCATTTTCTTATGTAGAAAATGGTGGATTGAACCTGGTTTTATAGCTAGCTAAAAGGGTGATATATACAAGGGTGAGAAAGTTGTTCTTTTAAACAAACTAAAGAAGTGTCCATGACAGGAGAGAGATAAGTTGAATAAAACTAACAGGAGATAACCACACCAGGAAATGATACTTGTACGAAGAACTGTATGTTGACAATGAAGATCAACCGAAAAACAGTCAGACCTTGTGGGTGGGGGATTAGATTAAAACTAACCACTTTTTCGTCTAGCATCTCGATTACAAACAACAGAGAAGGACGACCAGATGACGACGTTTCACATAAAAGTAAAAAAAACCTAAGAAATGCAAGCGGAGATTTTTTTAAGGTTTGGGAAGACGCCATTACAGATCTTAGAAATTGAGCGACCAAAACAGCACCATATTGTTCAGGGAGCTCATATGGACGATACAGAAGCAACAATAACCGAGACTGGATTACGACGTTCATCAATCATGTCAAGGGATCCAGAAACTTTAAAGATGTTGTGCTCTGTGATGTTATTTTAACCTTTATGACATTCACATGCAATCCGTGCTCAAAACTGATTATTGGAGTCTTTAAAAATGTGTTTACATAATTACATTTACTTGTAAAGGGAAAGCATAAGTAAATTAGACACAAGGAAACGTGTCACATGGTGGGGAACAATGTTGTGTGGTACGTTATAGTTTTCGTTGTGTTATAAGACTGGAGAAGTAATTAGACATACAAGAAATCTGGATTGTCGTCTGAAACACTGTAGCTAGGAGGGACGTCCGGTGTTTCTACGACCCCTTGCATCGCGTTTTGCGGATGCCAAATTTAGATATTGTTTTCCCGTTTATCAAATACTTTCTGTTTAAAAAATTGCATTTTACACTATTCACCAAATTGTCGGCAATTGTCGTGCCTTATATTTAATGAAAAGTAAAATAACAAAAATACCGAACTCCGAGGAAAATCCAAACGGAAAGTCCGTAAGCAAATGGCAAAATCAAAAGCTCAAACACATCAAACGAATGGATAACAACTATCATATTCCTGACTTGGTACAGGCATTTTCCTATGTAGAAAATGGTGGATTAAACCTGTTTTATAGCTAGCTTAACCTGTCACTTGTATGACAGTTTCATAAAATTCCATTATATTGACAACGATGTGTGAACAAAACAAACAGACATAATAGGTAAAAATGTCAAAAATAGGGGTACAGCAGTCAACATTGTGTTATAATCTTAATCACTATAAAAACAAAGAAATATATCAACAACGAAAAACAAAAAGGCATATAGACAAAGCACATTATCAAAAACGAAAGACAAGAATACAAAAACTTACCATAGCACAATAACACAATGACGGAATGTATAAGTACCGAGCCACGTCAAATGGATATTACCAAACATAGACTAAACAGTAAAAGTTATAATTTACAAAAACAAATAAAAGAACACTATAACACATAATTAAGATGACAAACAACGTTAGTACCCAGAATCTATATTTCAAGACCATCATGTATTATTTGTTAGGTTGATACGGAATATTTATCACCAAGGTCATGGTATCTTCTGATGAACATTTGTTAAGGACTTTCCGTTTTGAATTTTCCTCGGAGGTCGGTATTTTTGGTATTTTACTTTTGGTATTTCTTATCTCAATTTAAATTTGACTTTAAGATTTCATCTATTAAAGGTACTATTTTTACTTTCTTACTCCCCACTTATATGTTATTTTTACCTGAAGCTGGATATAAGAGATCCATCTGCTTCCTGTTAATAACTCTAGTGTAGAACAAATTCTGAGTAATAAAAAGTCGATCTTTTGCAAGTCTTGATGCAAGATTTGATGGAGGAAAATGTTGATCGAATGCATCTCTTACTGCCTTAGGCGCAACATTACTCATCAATCTGAATATCCGCAAAAAGTTATCTTCTGCCTCTGTCAATGAGCTAGTGTTGTGTCGTTTGAAAATCGTCTTCCATGATACATTCTGGAAAATGTAAATATAATTGACATATGTGACAGGTTTCTTAAATCGTAAAGGTATGTTTAAAACAACATTCAATCGATCCATTTCCTTTTGGTTGTCTAAATTTGTATCGTTTTCTCTTGTGATACCATCATTTAATGTTTTAAAATGATCTAACAATAACAAAATATTCATTGGTATAACGGGGCCTTTCGGGTTTATTTACACCCTTTATTTCATAATTCATTCAAAACTTAACTTATTATACCACTCATTAACTCGGATTTTCAGTATTGTAAGATTTTTTCCTTTCATATCATGCATACAAATTATAAAGATTTTGTGAAATACAGAAATTGAAAATAAAAATCAAAAACAAAAAAAAGCTCAAAGTACTAGTAAAATCAGTAAAAGAGAGGCGAAAGCTACCAAAGAGACTTTCAAACTCATAAGTTACTATAGACATTTTACTAGTTTTTGTTTTCTTTTAACTAGACACATTTTACAAGAATATACACAACGTCAGAAAATTACGCATTTGCTCCAAATAGTGATACTCTATGATTCTATATACTTGTGTGTTCATAAAATAATATAATATATTTACCCACACATATGTCATTATTCTACTGAGCCGTATGAACTTTGGCGAATCCCTCAGCCATACGCATGTTGTAACTATGATAACGACAACTGCGACTGCTATTGCTATGAATATTGTGATAGTTTCCATTCTTTACCTCAATTATTCCATCTCCTGCAATAGTGAGTAGTTTTCTAATTTTCATTAATTGTATTCAATATAGTTCGTTCATGGAAGATATATATCTCAATATTTATCATTTTAATGCATTTTCTGCCAACACATAACAGACATTTACAATAGTAAAATTAACAAAGGTCTTGGTATCTTCCGATGAACATTTTTAGAAAAGGACGAGACGTTCTTTGACATAACACTGGTTCATGAACTTTCTGCTCAGACACTGGTGACGTTTCATAAAGTCTGAGTAGCAGCTGCAAGCTCTTGAATACCGAATTAGTTGGGAAATAATTATCCCATATGCAGGTGACGTTGGTTTATTGCTACTAAGGTGGGGGAAAACGCGTGTCTGACGTACAAAATAAGCCTGGGTACTTTGATGAGTTTTTTTTGTCGTTCTTCTCTTTGATCATGGTTTTGCCTGTTTTTCTTCGACTTATGATTTGTTATTGTTCTTTGGTATCGTCTATCTCTTTTTATAGAAAAGGGGCGAAAGATACCAGAGGGACATTCAAACTCATAAATCGAAAATAAACTGACAACGCCATGGCTAAAAAAGAAAAAGACAAACAGATAAACACTAGTACACAAAAAACAACATAGAAAATTATAGTTCTTTTTACATACCGTTTATAGTTACACATGTACATTATATAAATTGGACGATAAATGTAAAACAAGACAATTAAATTGACTAACTTATGGAATAAAATAACCGATTGATCCACGACAAAAGAATTTTAGCAGTTGCACATTTTGTTTTATTTATGAAATTTGTTTTTAATCTCATTTCCAATAATACCTATGCAAGCTTCTGTGCTATATTTATAAAGAGACAACCATCACAACTTTGGATAATTTATTTTATCCCAAAATGATTAACTTTGTGTTTAAACACTTTTGACAGAGAAGAAACCAAGGGACTGAAAAAAATGAAATGTAGAACGTCATTATTTTCATTATTTTTTCACTAAAAAAAAATACCAGTGTTATTTTTTCCTTTTTAAATCACCTCTTTTAAATCATGAAATTCTCAGAAAAAAAAAGTGAACTTCTTCTAAGGTACTTCTGACAATCAAAGTAATCGACATCACTTATGGAAAGACTGGAAGAGTTGTGCGCATAATTTCAAAGCATACTCTCATGTATCTTCAAAGGAAGGTGCAGTATATTTTTTCTGTGAGTTTGACTAAATAAAGGCAACAGTAGTATACCGCTGTTCGAAATTCATAAATCAATTGAGAAAAAAACAAATCCGGGTTACAAACTAAAACTGAGGGAAACACATCAAATATAAGAGGAGAACTACGACACAACAGAAAGACAGCATTAAAATTTAACACACACAGAAACGAACTATAATATAACAATGGCCATTTTCCTGACTTGGTACTGGACATTTTAAGAAAAAATGGTGGGTTGAACCTGGTTTTGTGGCTAGCCAAACCTAAAATAATTTCCAGAAAGAAGTATTGAAAATGCACTTGTTCAACATCAAAAATTAAATAACTAATTTTTATTTTACTTGTGTTCATTCTTCATTAAAAAAAATCCTGTATTCAAATACATGTACAAACACCTTGCATTGTTAAATAGCAATGTAATGAAGAATAAACAAATAAATTTAATTGCAGAATATGCCCAAGTTAGACTGTTGCATATTTGTTTATTGTTTCCAGAAAATTAATGGTAATTGTAACTTAAATACACATAAATTTTTACCCTTTTCCTACCGAATTAGACTTATTGCCGGGTTTATAATAACATGAGCAACACAACGGGTGTCACATGTGGAACAGGATTTGCTTACCCTTTCGGAGCACCTAAGATCGCCTCCAGTTTTTGGTGGGGTTCGTGTTGCTCAGCTTTTAGTTTTCTATGTTGTGTTTTGTGTACTATTGTTTGTCTGTTGCTGTTTTTCTTTAATTTCGACCTATGAGTTTGAATGTCCCTTTGGTATCTTTCGCCTCATTTTTATTGACTAATATCAAATGATTAGAACATGGATTTTCCAAGTAAAATAGACCCTGCTTTCATTTTTTATACATATTTTGTTACTTGTCTTTTTTTTTCATAAAAAAATGCATCTTATTAATCCTTAATCATCCATCTTTCAGGCATTATTTACAGAATAATGTTATGTAGTATAGTGGTTATAGGTATACTATTGTATTTGAGGTCAATAATTGACAATAAATTTTGTATTGAGATATGAAATAAGCTGTATAATAAAGAGTTTATTCAACTATGTAATACAAAAAAATATTAACTGTGGTCAATTAAGATTGGCATTAATTGATTGATTAAACAGCCATCTTTGAGTGATTTTTTTAGTAAATAATGACAGTTGTCTACCATTCTGCATTGTATCAGTATTCTTACTTGCCTCAGGAAAGAATTTAAATAATAGCATTTAAAAAAAAGTGTAGGAATCAACATTGATATCAATACCCACTTGAACCAAATTGTATTCAATAACTTACACAAGCACAGGATACTGATAAAATACTTTAAAAATTATTATCAACTGATTAAGTTTGATATATTACCTTTTCACATTAATTCATAAATAGTAATGTATTAGCAATTTTTATTTAAAAGGAATTATATGCAAGTGTAAATCTAAAATAAAGTTGCTGTTCGGTCAATATTTTATTAATTAAAGGGCTACACCATGTAAAGAGTCGGCAGTAGATGATTGAAATGATGTATAAAGTTTCTGCAAGTTATAATGTAAACCAATAGTGTCATAATATGTCTCCCCATAGAATTTTGCATCACCTCAAAATCCGGAGTGTTAACATAGATTCAGCATGGTTGAATGAACAAGCAGACATATTATTTCAATAAAACATCTATTGCTGCAGATTTTGATAAATCGAAAACAACACTTTTAACTCCTAAGACTGATAGTTAACGGTTTAAAATATTTCTATGTTATGTCTTCCTAAATTACACAAGAAACCGGACTGTCTGAATCCAGTAAATGTTCAAATACACATGCCAAAGTTAATACAACGGGAAACAGTATATAAATCGGACATGCTGAGACATAATTAAATACATTAAGTATCTGCATGATGATATTTATGCTCGATATTGAAATAAAGTATACCGAAAAGTGATTGGTTTTCCGATGCAAACTAGCTGTGCCTCTCAAATTACAGATTTATTTCTTTTCTGTTATGAATCTCAATAAAAGAGAGGCGAAATATACCAAAGGGACATTCAAACTCATAAATGGAAAATAAACTGACAATGCCATGGCTCAAATAGAAAAAGACAAACAGACAAACAATAAACACAAAACACAACGCGGTAATCTAAAGACTGAGCAACACGAACCTCACCAAAAGCTGGAAGTGATCTCAGATGGTACGGAAGGGTAGGCAGATCCTTCTCCACATGTGGCACCCGTCGTGTTCCTCATAACAAACCCGGGAATAAGTCTAATTCGGTAGGTCACATGCAGGAAAATGAGGACGGGATTGTAGTTATGACAATTGGAACATATCCGTTGTCATCTGTGAAACGGATATTCCATAACGGTCAACCGAAATCATGATAGGAAATACAAGCCCTGGAATATCGTATCAATTGGAAGATATATATATATATATATATACTCCTTTTGCAGGTGCTGCTAGAATATTGCTGCATAGAAAAGGAAAGTTCACAATAGGGAAGCTGAAATCATCTCTTTTGTCGTAACGTTTTGTTTTCAACCGACCCTCATTGTCAATGTCTAGATGTTAGTCATGATATGAGGCAGACTTGTAAATCTACAACCGTTTTTTTTGAGTCATTGCAGTAAGTTACTTACAGGGATGTAGCACGCACGCGTAGTCATCTAATACATAGTTGTGTGTTAAAATTGGTCTGGGAAAATGACACACAAATAACTTATGTCTCAGTTTGAACTAGTGAAACTACACTATTGTGCACTTATATGTATTTCTCAAAGCTGATTGCACACATTTGTTTTGATAAATAAACTAGGTTATAAAATCGTAGATATTGTCGAAAATGTGTCCGACTTAGTATACAGATTAAGTGCATAACTTCTTCATATCAAAGTTTGCATTTATCTGTAGACAGACCAACGACAATCTTGAAGTTCATCCTTCATTCATATTTGACTATTGTTAATTATCGGTTAGTTCACGGTTGGTGAGGTTGTACTGCAGGATATTTTTCTGTGTCGTCGATTTGATCCTGACCGGTGCTGGCAATCGTTGAAAATATGTAAACAAAGAGGAAAATGATGATTTTTAACATTTCCTCGAATAAAAAATGAAAAGAAATAATTGAAATGCTTTAATTTTGTTTATTATGGGTTTAAATGCATTCCTCAATCATCAATCTTTAGGCCTTTTGGCACAAATTGTCTCGAATGTGCAGGTTTATTCCTTCGTGCTAAAATTCATGTTCATCATGTTATCTCTGTGTGCTTTTATACCTCTTTATATGGTATGCGCTGGTTAAGATTGGGATTGAGAAACTGTAGTATGAATCTGCCAGTTCTGTCGATATAAATTGCTAATGTTAGTAGTTCGGCTTGCGTCTCTTCGATGTTCTCGCCTTTACGCATGGTTAATACGGTTGCTAAATTCAGGTTTCAAATCGCGACCTCTTTATCTCTTTGAATATTTGATGGATTTATTCGTTCTCATAGCAAGAGAAAGTGGTGAGGTGTTTCGGGTGCATCACACTTGCATGACTCTATGGCGTTGATTTGGTCTACTCGTTTCTTGTAGTAGTTTAGTTCTGTGAAGGCAGTTCTTATTTTCGCGAATATGCTGAAATGTCTTTCAGGTGGGAAATCATTCAGAATTGAGTGTTACGTAGTTGGTATCTTTCAGTATAGTATAAGTCCCTGCCTCTCTCAGTAGTCTGTACTCAGTGTGAATGTATCGAAAACAATCATTTAATTTATCGTATCATTCTCATTGTAAACATTTGAAATTACTTTATTTACCTTGTTGGTTGTTAGC